GTGGCTTTGTGTTTCTTCTGAACATACTTATTTAAAAATGCACAGTGACATGTTTTCCAGAAAACTAACCCCAAGGTTAATTGGAGAGGGAGGGTTCTGCTCACCTTCCAGTCACCCTGCCGGCTCATCTACGGGCTCTCACACAGGAGCAAGGCAGAAGTAGTCGCGGAAGCTGTTAGAGATGCAGGTTGCGTACCAACTTGTGTGGACAGCAAATTGCCATCATTTATAGCTGATGCTAACCCTGTGAGGTGGGGGCTGAGCCCTTCCTTTGCTTTCACTAGCTTCTGGGGCCCAGGCCTTCTCCGGCCTCTCCCCACGGCAGCATGGGCAGGTGGTAAGGAGGACGCATGAAGGAGCAGTGAGGTCTGGCATTTTAAAGTCCCTTGCTGCTGCCGTGAGTTCAACCCTCATTCCTTAGTTGCTGTTGCCTTCGTGACCAGGAAGCAGTGATGGCTCCTTGCAGTGAGTGAGATGAAGTCAGGCCGGAAGTCAGCTTTCCAGAGCCAGTTGCCAAGCAGGGCCTTGGCTTCCCCGCTTACAGCCGGCTCCAAGTACCATTGCCCATCACTCTCTTCTCCCTCTTCCAGGCCCATGCCCTGGAGAGCGACATCAAGCACGACCTCTTGGAGCTCGCCTGCCTGTGCAAAGCTGTGATCTGCTGCAGAGTCACCCCGCTCCAGAAGGCACAAGTGGTAGAACTGGTGAAAACGCACAGAAATGCCGTCACTCTGGCCATCGGCGACGGGGCCAACGATGTCAGCATGATTAAAAGTACGAGGTGTTCATTCAGGGGGTACTCTGCGTACCCAGGGTATGCTTCAGTTCTCGTGATGTGTGAAAGGGATTACATTAAAACCGAACTGTGCCAGATCCTTAAGTCAGTGATCCTTTTGAATCCAGTGCTGTCACCATTGTTGCCATTCATGTGATCTGTTCATCTTTAATGAGATTGTCTGTGTACTTCTGAGATTAGAAAGAGAGGTTGGCCACCTTTTAGTGCTAAGGACATAAGTGGCTACAGCATAGATGGAAGGATGCGAGAACCACAAGGCAATGCCTAAGCTTAACGCCATCTTTACTGTTTATGAAGTTTTACAAACTTTATGATATTTATGAGCTTTTCTTAGCCCAGTTTCCTCTTATGTAAAACTAGGGTAGATACCTAGTCATCACAAGAATTATAATTGCTTCAGTTCTAGGTTTTCAATGAACAAAAGACATAAAAGAGCAATGGTACGTTTCCTGAGGAGGCTGCGCCTGCATCTGGGAATGAACACCTCCTTCTCGTCCTTACAGGTGCGCACATCGGTGTCGGCATCAGCGGCCAGGAAGGGCTGCAAGCCGCCTTGGCCAGCGACTACTCCTTCGCCCAGTTCAGATTCCTGCAGAGGCTTCTCCTCGTCCATGGAAGGTGGTCCTACTTCCGGATGTGCAAATTCCTGTGCTACTTCCTCTACAAGAACTTTGCCTTCACACTCGTGCATTTCTGGTTCGGCTTCTTCTGCGGCTTCTCAGCCCAGGTGGGTGAAAAGCACTTCTGTTTCTTCCATGAGGTCCCACGAGTTGCTAATGACTCCCTCCTAGGCCCTCTGATGCACAGAGGACATCCCTGTAGGCCTGGTCCAAGTGGCGGTATTACAAGTGTGTACTTAAGACTTGATATAAACTTGCACAGGAACATCCAAGAAGAACCTGTGTTTGGCAGGAATTTACTTGTTTGGTTAGTTATATAGCAACTAATCAGCATGCCTTCCTATGCATTTCTAAGTTTATACTACAGTATTTTGGAGTGTTGATAGGTAGGTTTGATGAAGATTTTTCAATTTAAAACTGAAGTTAAGAAACACAAGGATTATTGAGGTAGCTGTAGTGGGAAGATGGGGATTCAGTGAACACATCGGATGTATCTGGGCTCAGGGTAAACCTGTTTTAGGTCAGAGATAAGAAGGTGCTATTTTGACATCTGAGCAGTTTTAATAGCAACTCATTAGCTACAAGTTGATTTACAGATAACACTGGGATCCGTAAGGAAAGTTAGCAGCTTCATAAGATAGGATGCTTTTCTATAGCTACAGGTGGAAGGAAATTCAGTTTAGATAACATATACAAACTACATGTTCTGTTCTCCTTCCTTATACATCCTATGATTTTGATGTCACACTTGGCATAGGTTTATCATTTGTATCCCTCAACAAATTATTGTAGCGTTATTTATTTGTTTATTAATGTATTTAGTAGGGTCTAAAGGGTCTCACTTCACAGATCAGACTCGTAGTGATTCTTTCTGTTTTTCAGCCTCCCAAGCACTGGGATTACAAGTGCATGGCACCACACCCAGTCTCAGTCGAAGTCTCAGTGCGCCCCAGGCATGGCAGGCCGGGGATAAAACCCTGGTCCCTGCCTCTGCCTAAGCAGGTGCTTTCATCTGCTGAGCTATCTGGCTGGCCCTGTAATTTTCGATAGTTTGACCTTTTCACATTTCTTCCAGAGCTAGCACTGACCGCCCATCATCAGCCCTGACCCACAATGACCCACAGTGACCCACCCTGACCCACAACGCTGGGTCACTGGGTAGCACTCTTTTCCAGTGAGTTTCCTACTTTCACATATTCTCACATTGCTAATTAGCACCCTGCTCCTTCAGCCTTCTGTTTGTGACCGTCTTTGTCATTTCTTTTTGAAAGACACTGTCACTGGCTATGACCTTCTTGGCGGGCATATTTTCTCTCCTTTCAAGGTTTCTGCTGAAACATCTGCGGTGGACTTCCTCCCTTGTATGATTTCTCTTTCCTTGGTTGCTTCGAACACTCTCTGCCTTTCACTTTCTGTTGTTGGTGCTGCTTTTAGGTTCTCGTAGTTTCCCCCCAACTCCAAGGCCCTGTGCATAGAGCATGTGTTCTCCCGCTGAGCTGCACCCCAGCTTGTCTTAACTTTGGACAGTTTCACTGTAACGCATCCTGGAGGGGGACCTGGCGGACTCCACTTATCTGATGTCCTTTGGGATTCCCAGGTCCGGCTTTCTGCTGCCTTTCCTGGGCGCAGCAGTTCTCTCTGTGGGTTCTTTGAATGTTTTCCGTCCTTTTCTTTCTTTCTCACATAAGTGGCTCAAACAGTCTTTACTCCTTTCCATTTTTTCCTCTTGCTCCTCAGATTGGATGACTGATTTCTGGCGACTTTTAGTTCACAGAGCCTTTCTTCTGCTTTCCGTATGGAACCCCTTTATTCCATGTTTCATCTCAGCTGTGGTGCTCGTGAGCTCCAGGGTTTCTGTTTGGAATGTTTTTATACATCTCATCCTGTTGGTGAAACTCTCACTTTATTCTTTCTCTCCTGACCCCAGGAACATCTTTCTGGCCATTATTTTTCCCGTCAGGTAAATCACGTACCTTCACATCATTTAGGGCAGTTACAGGAGATTGATTTCTTCTTTTATTTGGAATTCATTTTCCTGTTATTCTCCTTTTTTTTTTTTTTTTTTTTTTTTTTGGTGTGGGGAGTGGCTCTGTATTGGCCTCTATACGTGAGACAGGACATCTTGTCAGACTGGCCTCTGGTAGGAGAAGAAGCACAGCAGCCCATCCAGCCAGAGATTTGGAGGCCCTTCTAAGGCACTCCCAGTGCACTGCAGCTGTCATTAGTGGCCCCTGCGGCTGAGGATGTGCCCAGTCCTATCGGCACCCTGCCAGATTCCCCATATGCAGCTGGAAAGGTTGGAGTGTTGGTGTTTTGTTCCAGTCCCTTCTCTCTTTCTGTTGAAGCTGGGCACAAGTATTTATCTGCACCTCTCTACACTACTCAAGCCAGGGAGAGCATTTGTAACAAGTGCCTGAACCCCACTTGAGCTGCATCCCCTGATCCTGGAGCCCTGCTGACCCAAGGGTATCCTCTCTGTTTTCTGTGGTCTAGGCCACTCAGGAGGACCAAGCCCCCTGCCTCCCAGAGCTGGTGCGATGGAGGCAGCATGCTGGGTGTCCCCACAGAAACCGTGGCCCTTGTGTGTAGCCACGCTTCTTGCAGGAAGGATGGGTAGCCGGCTCTGTCCTGGACCATTGGACGGAAGGCTCTCAGAGTGCTTCGCTCCGGCTCTGGTGCCACAAGGCTGCTGTTCATTTGCCCTGTTAGCTCCATGGTGCAATTTCTTTGGAAGTCAGGCCTTGAGCTCCTCCTGGAAATAACGGGAACTGTGTGTCCTGCCCCTTCCACCCTGCTCCCCATGGGCATGGCCTTGAAGTGTCTGCAGACTATGGGAACCACCGTGTCCCCGTCCTGTGGCCTGTGACCCTGGACGCATGCAGGAACCAAGTCCCTCTGTTCCCAGAGCTGGGAAGTTTAGGACGGAGGAGCTGGGAAGGAGCTGAAGAGCCAGGACAGTGTGCGGTGCGAATCCCTCCTGGGGACGAGCAGGAGCTGCCATTTAAAGCATCTTCTTGGCCCTTCTTCCAGGAGATAAAGCCTGTGGAGGTGTGTGTTCCTATGTATGAAAGCACTACTGTCTCTTGTGGTCTAGAGAGAGGGTGTGTGTCTGTCCCCTCTGCTGCTGGAGTTAGTGAACTGAAATTCCATCTACCAGAGATCAGGGCCTGGTATCCCAGAAATGATTCCGAGCAGTGCCATCAACATAAAATACCTCTGCCTCCAAATTCTGGGTGTCGTTTTGGTGACTCTGCTTGCTGTTGCAATAACGTGGTGATCCATGCATACGTATGTTTACAGAAACACACCTCAGAATAGCTTAATCTTGGAAACAGCCTATATGTCTATCAACAGATAAATGGATAATGAAAGTATACTTATATACATCGAAGTACTACTAAAGCCATAAAGAAGGATAAACTTGAGTCACTTGTAGGAAAATAAATGCATCTTGAATCCATAGAGATAAATGGAATAAATCATGCCTGGTTCCTCTTACATGAGAAACCCAAAGTATAATTTAAGGGGCAAAATAAGACAGATGATAGGAAACAGGGAGAGAGACTGTGGGGATGGAAGGATGTGTGCATGGGGGAGGGGAATATATTCATTTGTTTCACAAACATATACTAATAGAAAAGTCTTAAAAAGGAAAAGAAAAGGAGATATGGGGATGCACAGTGGAGCCAAACCCTGCCATCCCGGGGAAGCTGGGGCCTGGGGTGTCTTTCCCAGTGTTCTGGCCCAGTGCCCCAAGAAAGGCTCCCCACAGTTGCCCACCTCCCCCCACTCGCTGACTTTCCCTCCAGGATGGATCCATAAGCAGATGCTCTTCTGCCCTCACCCCCAGGAAGTGGCCTCCTGTCCTACTGAAGGCTGGCTGTCAGGCGAGATCTGGCACTTGGTGTCAGTTGGGAGATCTAAGCACTGTGGCACCGAAGCACACTTAGGAACAGAAAAGCGTGTTTGAAAGACACCTGAATAGTAGAGAGGGCGGGACATTAATAGTTCTGAATCATGGCAGCTAAAGCAAAGATGCTGTTTGAGAATGAAATGGTAACTGGAACTCCCTTAGTGCGGTCTTCAGGTGCTCTTCCTTGCACAGAGGTTGAATCAGCAACATGAGCTTCAATGATGTTCATGAAGCTAACTTTTTCAATCGCTGTATTCTTAAAAGATTTCAAATGAATTAAACAGTGGCATTTTATGGCCTCTTACATGTGCCCAGGGAGGCTAGTGAAGCCTGTTGTAGTCAAAGTATGTTTTGCATGCTTTTCCCTTTTTCTAGGAAATCGAGATTCCTTAAAACAAGGCCACCTTTATCCATTCCTAAAGTTGTCTTGGTAGAATTACAATCCTGGAACTTAATGCAGAGTATGTGTATATTTTTGCCCTTCTTGATAATCTCCTGACAGCTGAATTAAGGCAGCACTCGTTTCAGTGTGTCAGCTGGGGATGTTGTCTCTGTTACTTCACAGGAGGCCGGGAGGGGGGTACTCACCAGCTGGCGATGCCACCTATGCCCAAGAAGGTCAGGTGTGGAGAAGTGGCCTGTGTCTCCTCAAGCCTGTGACTGGCCCTGTGTAGAACAGCAGAGCCACACTATCTCCTAAGTGATGTCTTCCAAAGGAGGAATCATCCTATTCCAAAGGTTCATGGCAGAGAAGTCTCACAACTTTGGAAGGGTGAACTTCAACTTCAGGACAGTCCTGAAGGAGAGTCCTGAGGCTACAGGACAGTCCTGAGCACTTGCGTTCACAGTACATCAGGGCTGTGGGTTCAGGGCTGCTGCCAGGTGTCTAGCGAAGCCGAGAAGCTGAGAACCATGTGTGGTGGCATCTTGCCTCTACCTTCCTGCTGGTTCTGCTGTTTTCAGGATCTGATAAAAATTGTTCAGTCCGTTGCTAAGCAACTCGATTTGCAAACCTTTCACCAGTATTGCCGCTTAAAAGAGAACAGGCGCGCGCGCTCCAATCACTGCACGACGCGGTGTGCAACAGCTGAGCCCTAGGTGAGGCGCCCGTCGTCTGGGGCTTGGTTTCTGCATGCTTCTTTATTGCATTTTCTCTCTCTCCCTTTCATTTTCACACTGAAAATTCTCGTCCTC